ATCTAAACCAAATTTTATATATTAAATTATTGTTTTAAAAATCTAAAATAATGGAAAAATTATTTCTGCCTTTTTGTAGATATTATCTAAACCGCCTCATTATGCCTGAACATAAAAAGACTAGAAAGTATATCAAAGTGTATGCAAACTTTGTCATGTTAACTATGATTTTAAATACATTTTGACCCTATTATTTAACGTATTCTGTTTTGATCCACTCTGATATATTATAGGTAGCTATTTATTTTATATTTTCAAACAAAATTATTTTCAACGTCTACAATTTTTTAGCTGCGAATAAGGCTAGTATATTTTTTTTTAAAAAAAACGTTATCATACTTGTATGCTCTAATATTTTAAGCTTTTTTTGATTTATATTTATTACAAAGTAAAACTGCATGCTTTAAAGTTTTTAAATTTATTAGGCTAAAGTAGGAATAATTTTATGCATAAACTTGCATATTCCATTTTTTACATGGACTCATAGACGCTGATGCAATAATCTATGTAATCTCCAAATAAACTAGGATATTTTTAGAGAATATTTCTCATTAATTTTAAGCTAATAAAATTTAATGAAGTATTTTGAAGCCTTAAAAATAATAAGCGAATAACCCTCTCAACTACGATTGAATTTATAAATTCAGAAATAAAAGACAATAATCTGTCAAACCTTATTCTAAGATATGAAATATATTTACCCGATTTCAATTAAGGGGATGAAGAAATTATAGTATAATTATCCTACAATGATATGAGTAAAGCTGATATTTTCATTGAACTTTACATAGCCTTGCTTTCTCAAAAGTTGTTTTCATCCCGGCTGGAGTGGAATTCAGTTTCGACTTCGCGTATGTCTTATCAACACCTCCAGCGGGATTCGAACAGTAGCAGTGCAGCATGTAAGCTTGCCACGTTACCCACTCTGCCACATTTCCACGAGGGCACTTGGGTCACAGGGCAGATATGAATTCCAAGAAAAGTCAGGTTTTTTCCATATCACATTCTTTGATGGAATTGTCGAATAAACAAACGTATATTTGCTATAATAATCGACTACATTACTTTTTCTTGGTATATAAGCAGAGTTTAGAGACTACCAGTAAATCAGTAATGTGAGATGTCTTCACCCTTTTTCTTTTAAGGTGATAAAGACTGGTAGTAGAATTTTCCATTATATTTTCTATTGCTTTGCTTCCCCAAAAGTTGCTTTCATCCACTGTACTGTCACAATTCGACTCACGCTGGGTGGTTGATAAGACCTAGGCACGATCAAAACCCTGGTCCACACTGGATGAGAACAACTTTTGGGAAAGCAAGGCTCAGTGAAATTGAATGGAAACGTCATGTTTACGCATATAAACGTGGGAAAACTAAACCCCTAGTCCTTCATCACCTTAAACTGAATAGGGTGAATACATCTCATATTACTGATTTAATGGTAGTCTCTGAACTCTTTTTATATACGAAGCACTATTTAAATGTGTTCCAACAACGTCGAATATAACTTTTGATAACCATATTTCAATAGCAAGTAACTTTTAACGCTATGTTAAGAAGGCTATAAAAGCTCATACTTAAAATAAATCTGGCATATTAATGGTGTTTCTTTTACCACCATTTCTTAACTTGGCCGAAGCGATAGCGAGACCTTGTGGAATCTACTGCCGAGTTGCTAGCAAGTCGCTTATAACTTGTTGCAAAAATGAGTCAAACCAACACTTTACAGCTAAAGCCACGATATTGTAGTACGTATTTCTTGGAATAGTAATATTTAGCCGAATTATGCTTAGTCAAATCTAACTGTGTGTTTTACTCTGCGTCTGTTTAAAAATGCGGTGGATCAGTTTTGATGCCAATATTTTTTTACCATACTCGCCTACCTATTGCTGATATTATATTTATTTTAAATTCTATCAATCATTAAGAGTCAAATACTAAAGTGAAACAAAAGTAATTGATGCAAATAAATTAATATTTCCATTTTAGTTTGATTTTTTAGTATTTTTTAAACTCTCTTTTCACTAATGATTATTGACAAAGTAAGTAAAGAGCCCTTAATTAGAGTCGTAAAAGCCTTACCAAAAAAGATGGAATTTTTAAATGGATATTAAGATCTACTTAACATCGGTAATATTCTATTAATATTTTGCGATCTTAATTCTTAGATTGACATCTATGCATGCCTCTTACGTATATGTTTATTTCTATCAATTAAAATCCCTCCAACTCATCAGCGTGTTATCTTGATCCGCAAGACCTCTGAACTTATCCATCGGATCTTGAGCCGGAGGCAAGTTTTTCAAGGTCGTGTTCTCATTGTGCTTACGGTTCGTCCAGAGGTAGATCCAAGTGGAGCCGAAGCTGTCTTGGCTATTCAACTTATATGGCAAGCGCGCACAAAGGCCCATCGGCTACTTGATCGAGTCGAGTCATTAGCTGATAAAGAAGATGGTCCGTTGGTCATAAACGAAGGTGACAGCCGAAAGAGAAAAAGGCGAAGCTGTGAAAGTGGAAGGATAAACAATGGCTTATCGAAAGATACAAAATTTGCTACAAGCAGGTGGGACACAAAGTTTATTATACTAATTTAGCATAATGTTCTTCTCATTTTTGACTATTCTCCGCGTAAATGCCAACATGCGTGATAAATAAATTTATGATTAAGCCATTTAAATATATCCAACATTGTTAAATATCTCACAACAAACTTTACAAAATCAGAAATATATTCAACTTGGTTTTTTCTGTTAAATAAAGCTTAATAATATAGTTAAGTATGACAAACTTGGAATATTTGCCTTGACGAGTGATCCAGTTTAAGATAAAAAAGAATTCCATCTAAGCCATCTGGGAGCCGAAGTATTAACTGGGAACTCATTGTTAAGTATTTTGTTTTTACTTAGGTATAAGTTGCAAGATAATATTTTTATCAAATGGGCCAGATCCTTAAACAAATATTTTGTATTGCTCGCTTCAGGCTTAATTGAAAATTATTTTTCATATTTATCCGTATTTCACAGCAATGTTTATCAGACAGGCAAAAATATAATGGCATCTATGGTAT